TTGAAAGACTACTAGCCAAAAGAAAAAAAAAAGTACCAATTTGTATCCTGCTTATAACACAACCCTACCAACACTGAGTTTTTCAGTGTCATTTTCCCATTCTGGTAGGTCTGATGTTGTATTACAGAGCTGTTTTAATCATAATTTCTTCGGTTCCTGGAAGGACTGAACATTTTTTCAAGTGACATCTGTAACATGTGTATGTTGGTTAGTCGTTCAATCATATCTCCATGGCTAGAACATGCCAGGCCCTTCTATCCTCCCAAAGTCTGTCCAAGCTCATGTTTGTTGCTTCCAGGACATTATCTACCCATCTCATCCTCTGCTGTCCCGTCTCTTTTTGTCCTCGATCTTTCCCAACACCAGCATCTTTTCCAATGACTCCTGTCTTCTCATTATGTGGCCTAAGTATCTAAACTTCAGCTTTAGTATTTTACCTTCCTGTGAATAGTTTAAATTAATTTATTTAAACATTGACTGATTTGATCTCCTAGTTGTTCAAGGGATTCTCAAAATTCTTCTCCAGCAACACAATTCTGAAAGCATCAATTCTGCAATACTTAGCTTTCTGTATAGTCCAACTCCCACAGCCATATATTGCTTCTATAAAAATCATAGGGACAGCTAGGTGGCGCAGCGGATAGAGCTCTGGTCTTGGAGTAAGGAGAACCTGAATTCAAATCTGGCCTCACACACTTGACAATTACGAGCTGTGTGACCCTGGGTAAGTCACATAACCCTGATTGCCTCACCAAAAAGCAAAAAACAAACAAACAAACAAAGACTATTAACTATTTTCTCCATGACTTTTAGGGGAAACCAGAAATTTTTAGCTGTGGGACCCTGGACAAGTCACTTAACCCCACTGCCTAGCCAAAAAAACCCCCAAAAAACAAAAAACAAAACATAGCTTTAACTATATAGACTTTTGTTGGCAAGGGATATCTCTGCTTTTTAGTATGCTGTCCAGATTGGTCATACCTTTCCTTCCAAAGAGAAGGCATGTTTTAATTTCATGCTGCAGCCACTGTGTGAAGTGATCTTTGAGCCCAAGAATATAAAATGTGACATTGCTTCCATTTCTTCTATCTCTATTTGTCAGAAAGTGATGGGACCCGTTACCAAGATCTTAGTTTTTTTGATGTTAAACTTCGAGCTAGTTTTCATACTCTCCTCTTTCATCCTCATCAAGAAGCTTCTTAATTAGTTTTCACTTTCTGCCATCAGAGTGGTATTGTCTGCATGTGTGAGACTGTTGCTATTTCTCCCAGCAACCTTAATCCTAGTTTTTGATTCATCCAGCCTGCCATTTTGCATGATGTACTCTGCATGTAAGTTAATTAAACAAGGTAACAAATACACAGCTTTGTCATACTCTTTTTCCAATCTTAAACCAATCAGTTGTTCCATGCTTAGTTCTGCTTCTTCTTGGCCCACATGTAAGTTCCTCAGGACACAAGATGATCTGGTACTCCCATCTCTTTGAGAACTTGCCACACAGTCAAAAACTTCAGTGTTGTCCATGAAACAGAAGTAGATGTTTTTCCTAGAATTCCTTTGTTTTCTCCATAATCAAATGAACATTGACAATGTGGACTCTAATTCCTCTCCCTCTTTGAAAACCAGCCTGTTCTTCTCATAATTCTCAGTTCATATACTGCTGAAGCCTACCTTGCAAAATCTTAAGCATAACCTTGCTGGCATGTGAAATGAGCACAATTACTCAGTAATTTTAACCGTCCTTGGCATTGTGCTTCTTTACTACTGGGAAATAAACTGATCTTTTCTAATCCAGAGGCCATGGTTGATTTTAAGTGCTGAGTGCAGCACTTAAACAACATTATCTTTCAGGGTTTTAAATGGCTCGGCTAGAATTCTGTCACCTCCACTAGACTTAAGGCTCACTTGACTACATTCTCCAGGATATCTGGTTCTAAATCAGTACTTCCACCAGCATGGTTATCAGTGCCGTTAAAAAAAAACTTTCTTGTATAATTCTATATATTCTTGCCACCTCTTCTTTATCTCTCTTTGTCTTTTATCATGCCCATTTTTGCATGACATATTCCTTTGATAGCTCTAATTTTCTTGAAGAGCTCTTTTACCTTTCCCACTCTATTGTTTTCTTCTATTTCTTTGTGTTGCTCATTTCAGAGAACATTCTCACCTCTCCTTGCTATATTCTGGAATTCTGCATTCAGCTAGGTATATCTTTCCCTTTTTCCTTTACTTTTCTTCTTTCCTTAGCTATTTGTAATGCCTCATCAGACAAACATTTTGCTTTCTTGTTCTTCTTTTTCTTTGGAATATTTTTTATTACTGCCTCCTATATAATATTGTACAAAATTAAGGCACTCTACCTAGCAGATCCAAACCCTTAAATCTATTCATCATTTCCATTTCATATTCATAATGTGTGTATACTGCTAAATAGTCAGTTTTATATCCTCTCTAAAAATTTTGGAGTCCACCTGTACACTTGATTTAAACAGAATCTGATAAAAGGACAAATGAGAATCAAACAAAAGAAGGACATTCTTTAAAGTATTACTTTAGTCTTAACTTAAAGTCTATCAAAGCCACACAAGTCAAGACTTTGAGAAAAATAGTTCTAGCAACTACAATCTACATTTCCTCAAATCCCTCACTACTTATGCTGAGGGCTGAGGTAATTCCAGCCTTAAATTCTATTATGAGCTCAAGGAATCCTGACTTTCTGTACCTGAGCTATTCTAATGAATACTGTGACTTCACCTCTGCTATCACACGGCATTCTGGGCAACACTTTTGGCCTCACTAAGTTATTCAGGACAGCAACTATCAGCAATACTGATGTCTTCAGAAGAAATTCTGACTTAGGGAATAACCAGTCAAATAAAAAGGGTAGATAAAAAAATGTGGAAAAAGAAAGATGCTAGAAGCATCCATAAAAGTTACAACTGGAGGGCGGAGCCTAGATGGTAAAGTAAAAACAGTGACTTGCTTGAGCTCTCCCCCAAACCTCTCCAAATACCTGTAAAAAATGGCTCTAAACAAATTCTAAAGCAGCAGAACCCACAAAAAGACAGACTGAAACAAATTTCCCACCCAAAACAACCTGGATGGTTGACTAGAAAGATCTATTGCACTGGGCTGGAAGAGGAACACAGTTCAGCATGCACACACAGGTAAAACAGGTCTCAGCAAACCTAGAGCAGGCCTCAGAGGACTGAAAAACAGGCAGCTGTGAAGTTTCCAGACTTCTCAACCCACAAACACCAAAGACAACTTAGAAAGTCAGTGGGAAAAGCCTGTGACCTCGATGAGAGAGAAGCTCTGTCCCAGCTCCAGTCCCAATGATGTGTAATGAAATATCTCAATGGAAAAACAACTGACCTGAAAAATAGATCCAGGAGAGGTCATTTAAAAATTATTGGACTATCTGAAAGACATGATCAAAAAAAGAGCCTAGACAATATCTTTCAAGAAATTATCAAGGAAAACTGCCCTGATATTCTAGAACCAGAAGGCAAAACAGAAATGAAAGAATCCATCAATCATCTCCTAAAAAAGATCTCCAAAGGAAAACTCCTAGGAATATTGTCGCCAAATTCCAGAGTTCCAAGATCAAAGAGAAAATATTGCAAGCAGCCAGAAAGAAACAATTCAAGTACTGTGGGAACACAATCAGGATAACACAAGACTTACCAGCTTCTACATTAAAGGACTGGAGGGCTTGGAATATACTATTCTGGAGGTCAAAGGAGACAGGATTACAGCTAACAATCAACTACCCAGCAAAACTAAGTATAATCTTTCAGGGAAATAATAGACATTCAGTGAAATAGAAGACTATCAAGCATTCTTGATGAAAAGACCGGAGCTGAATAGAAAATTTTGCTTTCAAATATAAGACTCAAGAGAAGCATGAAGAGGTAAACAGGAAAGAGAAATCATAAGAGATTTATTAAGGTTGAATAGTTTACATTCCTGCATTGAAAGATGATATTTGTAACTCATTAGGCCTTTGTCAGTATTAGAGTAGCTGGAGGAAAATAAAAACATATGTATGTATGTATGTAGATATACAGATAGATAGACAGGCAGACAGACAGACAGACCGACCGACCGACCGACCAACAGAGGGCACAGGGTGAGTTGAAGATGAAGGGGTGATATCTGAAGAACAAAATTAAGGAGTGACAGAGATTATACTGGGAGAAGGAGAAAGGGAAAGGTAGAATGGGGTAAATTATCTTACATAAAACAGACAAGAAAAGGCTTTTACAGTGGAGGGGAAATGCGGAAAGGTGAGAGGGAATAATTGAATCTTATTCTCATCAGATTTGGCTTAAGAAGGGAATAACATACACACTCAATTGGGTATGGAAATCTATTTTACCCTACAGGAAAATAGGGGACAAGGGGATAAGAGAACAGGGGTATGATAGAGGGGAGGGCAGACTGGGGGAGGGAGTAATCAGAAGCAAACACTTCTAAGGAAGGACAGGGTCAAAAGAGAGAATAGAATAAACAGGGTGGAATAGGATGAAGGGAAATATAGTTAGTTTTTCACAACATGACTACTATGGAAGTGTTTTGTAGGAATTCACATGTACAACCTGTATCGATTTGCTTGCCTCAACAAGGGTAGAGGGGGGGGGGGAGAAGGGAGAAAATTTGGAACCCAAAGTTTTAAAAACAAATGTTAAAAATTGTTTTCACATGCAACTGAGAAATAAGATATACAGGCAATGGGGTACAGAAATCTATCCTGCCCTATATGGAAATAGAAGGAAAAAGGAATGGGGATGGGGAGAGATACAAGGGAGGGCAGATTAGGGGAAGGGGTATTCAGAATGTACGCCATTTTGGGGTGGAAGAAGAAACAAGATGGGGAGAAAATTTGGAACTCAAAATTTTGTGGAAGTGATTATTGAAAGCTAAAAATAAATAAATATTTTAAAAAGTTATAACCACTACAAAAATATATTCTGAAAAAAATCCTAAAACATCCTTACCAGTAAACAACATCTAGTGGTGCAAAGTATTTTTTCATTATCAGGTCTGCAAAGTAAGCCTCTGTTTCACGGCAAGCAGTCCCATTTCCAATCACTACAGTGCTGCAGCTTTAAAAGGAAAAAAAAAGTCTCACAGAAGTAACAAACTAAAATTACACCTTCACAATCAGCAATGAAAAAATGCATTCCAAAGCATATACTCTTTAATAGGTGCCCGTATTTGGGCACATACCCTGGCAACCTGTGCTTCATCTCATTCGAGTAAAAAGGAAGAGACATGGTATAAGTAAAGTTTTCCTCCAACTGAAAAAGGATAATGATGATGAGGAGGAGGATGATCAAAAAGGGATTTTTTTCCCCACATGCCCCATGTTCCCAGCATAATCAGTTTTCCTTTTGACTTGGAAACCTGATAGCATTAAAAGAAACAGTCATTAAAATGCTGCCAAACCAGAGTTTGGAAGCACATGACACTGCATGGTCTTAAACAGAGAAAAAATATTACTCGGCCCAAGAGTTCAAGATTAATCCCAAATGTTCAACGTCTATCAAGGTCCTATCACAATTGAGAAAAATTTTCATCTGTCTAAGATGGTCTCACCTAGCAACAAAGGGATGGACCAGATGATTTCTCAATATCTCTTCTCGACTAAAGATTCTATATCCCTAACAAATGTTTCTTTCCTATATTTATTTTCCAGATGTCCATGGTGATCCACAGTATTTTATACAGTATTTTTCTTGCCAAATACTTATGCTCGTAACACTAAGAAATATCAGTCTAACATGACACTTGTTACTAGTTACATTTACTCAAAAAAAGAACATCTCTCAAGAAGCAAAGCTTTGAAAAACCACAACAGGAACTTCTCAGCTAATCACATGACTGGCCATGTTTTCAAGGAACTCCTATAATCAGTCTATGGATACAATGAGTCTATTGCTTAATAAGTACATGAGAAAAGCTTAAATAGAAGAATAAGATGAGTAAGCTACTAGATACCATGCTACCTTTGGTAAATAAAAATATTTCCTTTGAGTTTCCAAATATCCTTCTCTCTGGAGACATGGCTTTTTTTGCAATGCCTTCTCTCCACTTAAATGAAGGTTCTTCCCCCTTTTACACTCATAGTTTTATAGGCCTTCTTAGTTGAATAAGCTACAAAAGTACTCAGAAAGTTATGTTTCCATACTTGAAATTCAGCAACAGCCTTTTTATCTTCTCTGCTTCTCGGAATCCTTGTCCTGAATGCAAGTAGACGACATCAGTATGAAGTATCTGACCTTAGAGAAATAAAAAATTAAAGCCATTTAATTAGAATTTAGAAAATCAAAGATACTATCAATTGGACTAGAGCCAAGCTTAAAGACTGGTAAGTTTTAGGAGGAAAGGGGAATGTTTTAACTGTCCATTTAATAAGAATTTTAATTACAGTCACTAATCAGAATATCCCAGTGCACTTTGAGGTGTTGCCACTGGCTAGGTCACACAGACAACGCCACACAATACCTTCCTCCCACTTTCCGAGAACCACTAAGTACAGAAAGATATATGGGTGTTCTAGCTATTTGGTGGTAAATTACTTGGCTATGACATCTCAAGAAACCAAGAAATATTTAAAATAGTCTGAAGTCTTAGGCAATCATCTTCTGCTTCTGCAAACATGGAATGGGAGAAAAGGGGGCAGAGTGTGATAAGAATCAAAGTTTTTAGACTACACATATGTGTGTGTTAATTTAACTTTTTTGCTTTTACATTTACATTTCTCTTTTTTCTCAATTATATGTAAACAAAAATTTTTAACATTCTCTTTTTTGTTGAGTTCCATATTCTTTCCCTCCCTCTCTCCCCTCCTTGAAAAGAGAATTTGACATAGATTATACATGTGTAATCATGTAAAACATTTCCATATTAGCCATGTTGCAAAAGAAAATGCAGACCAAAAAAAAAAGTATGCTTCAGCTGGCATTCAGACTCCATCAGTTCCTTCTATGGAGGTGGATAGCATTTTTCATCATAAGGCCTTAAGCATTGTTTTGGATCACTGTATTGATGAGAATAGCTAGGTCATTCACAGCTGATTATCACACAATATTACTACTGCTGTGTACAATGTTTTCCTGGTTCAGCTCATTCCACTTTGCATCAGTTCATGTATGTCTTCCCAAGTTATTCTGTAAGCATCCTGCTCATCATTTCTGATAGCACAATACTATTTCATCATAATCATATACCACAACTTGTTCAGCCTTTTCTCAATTAATGGACACCCCCTCAATTTCTAATTCTTTGCCACCAAAAAAGAGCTGTTATAAATATTTGTACATATAGGTCCTTTTCCTTTTTCTTTGATTTCTTTGGGGTATAGACCTAAAATAATGGTATTGCTGGATCAAAAGGTATGCACAGTTTTATAGCCCTTTGGACACAGTTTCAAATTAACTGCTGGTCTTCTAAATGTAAAATCCTTAAACAATGACAAAAAACATACTATTGAGGAGACTCAGTAAAGTCAATTTTGAAATGTTTATTACAAATGATACCAAAAGAAACGGAAAATTGCAGCTAAAAGTAATATTTGCTCACTGGTTCCCTTAATTAAGGGAGTTTTATCATGCATCCAAAGACAATAAAAAACATTTTGGATCATTTTGAATTACAGTATTCAAGATGAACTTGAACAAAAAAAAAAACATTCTGAGGATAACTTCAGTTTTTTGCACTCACAACTGCTGCAAAGGATGAGAAGATGAATTCTTTGAAGAATTAATTAAAATGCATAATAATCTACAAATTAACTAAACATATACCTTAATACGCACTGATTTTAATAGAAAATTGGGCAAAAGGAAGGAATGGAAAAAAATAAATTGGAAAATGTGACTCAGAAGTAACAAAAAACAGAATCAAGGTTTGTGAATGACACAGAAGCCTCACCATATACATGATGCACATTTTCTTCAAGATCTTAGCGAGGTGGCAAATATAACATGTAACAAACAGCATCATAAAAACTTGTATGATTCTTTAGTGTTTGTAGTATTATTTCATTTGATCTAGAGAATAACTCTTGAGAAAGGTGAGATCAATTATTATCCGCATTCTAGAGATGAGGAAACTGAGGTTCTGAGATGTTACATAACTATCCCCTAGGTAACATAGCTTACATAGCTATTGTCTTATACATGAAGTCAAGTCAAGTCAAGAAGCACCTTTTAAATGCTTACTGTGTTCCAGGCACCGTGCTAAGTACTAGGAGATGCAAAGAAAGGCAAAAACAGACTTTGAAAACAACTAGTTGGGGCAGCTAGATGGAGCAGTGGATAGAGCACCAGCCCTGAAGTCAGGAGGACCTGAGTTCAAATATGGCCTCAGACCAAACACTTGACCCTGGGCAAGTCACTTAACCCCAACAGCCTACAAAACAAAAACAACAACAAAAAAGAAAACAACTAGTTATTAACTTTTAAGTTATTTCTGAATTATGTCTGTGTACAAACAGACTATCAACTTGTTACACCAAAGAACAAAATCAATAACAATATCAGAAAAATAAAGATGAAATGAAGACATTGCAATCAAAAACAACTTCAGTGTGGCCAATTCAAAAAAGCTATGGGCCCGTGGATAATGAAGGAGTCAGCCTGTATCAAAGGCTAATAGTATTTCCTAAGGAATTGTAAGCTGTGTACAGCAATCAACACAACAAAGAAATTAAAGGAGCTTAGAAGCCAACTTAGCCAGAAAACATTTGATCTCCTTTTCAAATGGAGAAATGTAGCAATCAAAGACAATACTGGTATGGAATATAAATTCCTTTGGAAAATTTTATAAAGGAGGATGGGAAAAGATTATGAGTAGTAGTAAAATGAGAAAATTTAGCTTCCCCTTAAACTGAAAAAAAAAAAACAAAAAAACAAAAAATAAAAAACCAATGTCAACCATCACAAATTCCCACCTCTCAAAAGAAAAAAAAAATTCCCACCTCTCCTACTTCATACCTCAAAACTCTTCAACATCATCCCCTCTTTTCACCCTTGGCTCTTGAATCCATGAAGAGGTAGGCCTTCTCCTTGGTAACCCTTTAACTTGTACTCTTAAATCAATCCCCTTCTTTTTTCCTACCAAGAATTTGCCCCTTCAATCACTTCCAGGACTTTCTCTTACCTAATCTTTCCTTATCCACTGGCTCTTTCTTTGCTGTTCACATGACTCTTCATTCCTTGAAACTGCAATTCACATCTTCCCCACCCCTACCCCCCACCCCGGGCTGCCTTTGAAAGCCATTCTACATCTCCTATTTATGGCTTTCAACCAGACTATCTGACTGAAACTACTCTCAAAGGCTACCAACAACCTCTTCAGGGCTAAATTAACAGTCTCTTCTTAGTCCTCATTCTATTTGACCTCTCTGCCCATAGTAACACTGCTGACTATATCTTTCCACTGGACTTTACACTCTCTGACCCCACCTTCTCAGTTTACTTTGTGGCATCATCACCTTTCTCCCACCAAGAGTGGATAATTCCAAATGTCCTATCCTAGATCATCTCCTCTCTTTTTTTTCTAGAGATTCTAACCTGGTGATCTCATCACTTCTCCTGCCTTGGATTATTATCTCAAAGCAGATGAGTCTACATATCCAATCCTAATATCTCCTTTTAACTCCAGTCCTGTAAAATCAGTTTCCTCCTAGTCATCAGCATCTCAATGACCTGTAAGCATCATAAATTAACAGGTCCAAAACAGAATTCATTATCTTTCCCCAAAAATACATCTCTCATCCATATTTTTCAGTTTCTGCTAAGGACACTACTATCTTTTCAGCAGAACAGGTTTACAACCTAGAAATCATCCTTCACAATTCTTTCTTCTTCATACCTCTATTTTCTATTATTGCTAACTCCTTCGAATCCTACCTTCTCCATACCTATTTTCTAGTATTGCTAAATCCTTCCAATCCTACCTTCCCCATACCTTCCCCTACTTTATCATTCATCCCCTTCTCTCCACCCACCCACACAATCTCTACTCTAGCTTCAGGCCCTCATCACCTCTTGCCTAGAACAGAGCTTCTTAACTTTTTCCACTCAGGACACTTTCAGCATTTCTTAAACCGTTTGGGTTGGACTCCTTGCTTCCACTTTCTCCCCTCTCCAAGTCGACTCCCACATAGCTACTAAATTAATTATTTCTAAAACACAGATCTATTTGTGTCACAACCCCACTCACTTCAATGAGTACCTATGGCCTTTAAGAAAAAAATGGTAAATTTTTAGCCAGCCATTTAAAGCTCTCCATAATTGGGCTCCTATGTAATTTTCCAGTCTTATTTCATATTATTCCCTTTGATGCACTCTTCGTTCCCAAGAAAATTACCTACTAGATATTCCCCAACCTCTTTCCTTAGTTCCTTCAGCGTCAAACCCTTCATGATAGCTCTACTGATCTCAATTGTTTGTGCTTTCTCACCCTTTAAATTAATTTGTATCTGCATGCAAGATATATTCTTCCTGAAGACTAAAAGCTCCTTAAGGGCAAGAGCTATTTTTTTTTTGTCTTTGTATCTCCCTACAGTGCCCAGCATAATGCCTTGAAAAAGGTATTTGGAGGCAGAACTACAACAGAGGAGTAGCAGGCAGAAATATAGTCAAACCCCTCCCCCATGACTCCTCTACAAAGATCTAAAAAAATCAACAGAAAAATCTTCATCAGAAAACCCAAGGGAAAAAAACACAGCAAATCATTATTTTAGACTAGGTCAGCAGAGAGATACAGAGAGGTCTGTGGGGACTAGGAAAGAAGTCTAGCAAGGAAAAGCAAAACAGAGCACTCTAGCACAGGAATGAAAAGATTACTCAGAATGTGCACCAGGACAAAAAAAACCGTTATCAGACCATCATCAGAAGGAGTTACCTTCTGGTTACAGGTACAGAATAAGTTTGAAGTGGCAGTCTACAAGTCTGTACCCAGATCCAAGACTGAGGAAGGGACTTGTGCCTAAGGATAGTGTTCAAGGGTAAGACTGTTACTGAGCAAGGTACAAAGTCAGAAGGAAGCAGGGGCTGTATATGGCTCTGACATCAGAAGTGCAGCAGGATCACAGTTCCAGTGCTAATCAGATAGTACACTCTACAAAGGAATAACCAGGGAAGGAATCCTAGACCAAAGGTGAGCTTACAAATCTGTCACTCTGAACCAGCAGAGCTTTCCACCTGGCTGATAGTGGCTGAGTCCAGTAATAATCTACTGATTTCCAGTCATCCAGATTGACAAATTCGGTTTCACCCTTGATTCTTGACTGGCCTTCACTCCACATATTTAATATGTTGCCAAATCTTATTAGCTCCACAACATCTCTGCATCTGTCCTCTTCTCTCAACTCACACAACTACTACCATATTCTGAGTACTTATCACCCCTGAACTGGATTAGTTAAATAGCCTCCTAAGTAGACCCTGTGCTTCAGGCATCTTACTACTTCAACCCATCTCCCACACAGCTGCCAAAATGATTTTCCTAAAAACCAGGTCTGATCATGTCATTCTTCTCCTCAATATACTCCAGTGGGTCCCCATGACATCTGGGATCAAATATAAACTCCTCTATTTGGCACTGAAAGCCCTTCAAAACCTGTCCTTGTCTTTTCAATCTATTACACATTACACTCTTTCATGCACTTCATGTCCTAAACAACCTTATTTTTCTACATACATGACAATCCATTTCATATCCACATGCTTATGCATTGTCAGTCCACATGGAGGAAATGCACACTCTCTATTCACCCTCATCTCCTGCAATCCTTAGTCTCTTTCAAGACTCAACTTAAGCAGCTTTTCCTGATCTCAATGAATCCCTAATTTGTTATTACATTTCAAACGCTGACTCTCCGTGACTGCATTGGGGGTTTTCTTGGCAAAGATACTGGAGTGGTTTGCCATTTCCTTTTCCAGCTCATTTTACAGATGAGGAACTGAGACAAACAGGGTTAAGTGACTTACCATAAGTCACAGAACTACTTAAGTGTCTGAGGCCAGATCTGAACTCAAGATAATGAGTGGCCTGACTGCAGGCCCCAGCCCTTTATCCACTGAATCACCTTGATGCTCCTGAATCCTTGATTACTCTGCATCTGTTTTGTATATATACTTATACATGTACCTTTCTCCTCTGACTAGAATGCAAGTTCCTCAAGGGTAGGAAATGTTCCATTTTTATCTCTATATCCCACGCATTTAGCACAGTGCCAGGAATTTAGTAAACATTTAATCAATGATTGTTGGTGATTTTCCTCTTTTGCATGGAAAAGCCAAAAGAAAGTAGTTACTTTCACTATTTATTAAACTTGCAAATGATTAAAATAGATTTAAGACTATGTGGAAGTTTCAGTTGCCTACTGCGAATAACTGATTAGTTTTCCATTACTTTTTCATTTATTTCTTAAACATCTTTAGAAAAGAGTTGGGACAGTCATAGGAGATTACTTTGTGGAAGAGAGACTTTTGATTGGCATTGTTTTCTACTGAATTAATGTTTTTTTTCCCTTGGCTTTGCTTCAATCACTTGCAATTTAAACAATTTAGCATTGAGTTCATAAGATTTTGATGCATATTCTGATTCATCATGAAACCATATTTCATCAGAATAGATGTTAAGCATATTTTTGTTGGACAGTCCATTTTCCCAAATCTATCCTTGATAATATCCCAGTTTTTCAACAGAGTTCAAACCAGGCAGTTTCCTAGGCAACTGAAGTATGTTTATTTTTATCACTTCTATACATTTCTTAAATCTTTCATGACCTCTGCGGCATGTTGCAACACCATGTTATAGTATTCCATCAACATATGGGGACTGCTATAATTGTGGGACAATTCAACTTCTGCATACATAAATATATTTATCAGAGTTCATCCTTCCCTCAATGGGGATGAGACTTCAAGGCCCACTGGAAGTAAAAAAAGAAAAAAATCCTCAACACATTTTGGCAGGGTATATATTCTACAGATCCATTTGGCCTACAGTTTTGATATATTCTTAAATGAAAAAGTGAGTTTCATCAGTAAAAACAACCCTTTTCAACTTTTAGTCCTTGCCAAGAACAAAGGATTTTTTTTCTTCAAAACAATGGCTATTAGTTGTTTATTTTTTAATCGGTACTTTACTTAACTTCAAGAAGTCTATGCCATACTGTAGAGGTATCAATATCAACTCCTTCAATGGTAAGGTCCCTTTAAAGGATCACGCTTGGTTTCTTTGGATTAGGTTGTTCTGCAGCAAAAATCTATAGGTTCTTTTTAAAAAAAATAATCTATATTTTTGTTTGGGACTATTTTCCTTTGAGCTTTAGTAGGACTGATCCTGTTCCGTAGTGAACTTGGAAAAATCCTTGAAACACTTGACTTCCCTGCATCAACAACTGCTGTTAACAGTCACTGAAAAGTATTCTTTAAGAGTTACAACTCTCGTAAATTTCCTCAAAGTAAGAATATGCATCTTTAAAAAACAGAAGAGTTAATCATATAACAAAACAAAGTAAAGAAACATGCATGTTTGGCATGAAATCCAGCACTCAAGTATCAGAGAATTATCTAAGGGTACCAGCTCAATCTGATTTCATCTAGTCAAAACTAGACATTCCTAAACAGCCTAGTGCCAGTAAAAGTACACACACAAACACTGTTGTAAAAAAATTAAATTATGTCAGAATGATTTCTTGTCCCAAATAATTCACACAACAGTAAGACTTTAAGAGCTCCTCCAGAATCCAAAAGCAGTTCCTTAGGTGAAGGATGTGAATTTGTTTAAATTCATAATTCCTGTCATGAGACAAAATATCCAGTTTCCCTTCTTTCAAATTCTTCCTAAAATTCTTTATTTAACATAAACCATCAGAAAAACAATGACAAGCTATGATTGAACTTCCTTATTACCATGTAACAATAAATATATATAACAAAATCTTGCAAAAGTATACCACTTTTTAATACAGTAAGAAATGAAAATGACCAGTTAATGCTCAATATTCCCAGGTAAAGGAACAAATGAAGTGGGGGGAAAAGAAAATTTCAATTAACCAATATAAGGAATACTAAAAACTACAATGCTTATCCTCTATGAGTTTTAGGAGCCTTTTAGGCTTTCAAGCTTTTGGTTTTAGGAGAGAATAAAGTTAGTATTTATAACAATTACAAAACTCCCAGCTAAAATGTAATTATTATAATCTGTCTTAATTAATTTTAGGAAATTTAAAGACAGGCACTCACTGGTAGGAGAAACAATAGCTAACTTGCAACCATGCTTGTATCCAGGATCCACTCCCATCAAGGTTCGCCCTGGAACAGGACTTGTTAGAAGCAGCTGTCTGAGGTTTCTTCCAAACATCATTATTGATTCCTTCTCTGCATCTGATGTGAGTTTTGATCTAAGAAGTCACACACCCACCAAAAAAAAGTTTAGTATTTTTTTCTTTTCAATCCACAATCCTGGAAAAGATCAAACATGGTTTGACACAATTATTCTTTCAGAGCTTTTAATGGAACAAATGGATTTATTGAGAGAAACACCAAACCAAGAATTAGTTCAAGTATATTTCTGTTATTGAGAAACAGGACAGCCTAGGAGGGACAGAAACCTGGCCCAGAACAACCTGAGTTCAAGTCCTACCTATATTTCATATTGGCTACATGACCCAACGCAAGCCACAGAACCTCTCATTTTTCCAAGCAACTTGATCCAAGTGCAGATCTGTATTAACAGAAAAATTCCTCAGCAGGAGCTCCAGATATTGACAAAATCACATTGTTGTTCAATTGTTTCAGTCATACCTGACACTTTTGTGACCCCATTTGGGGTTTTCTCATCAAAAATACTGGCGTGGTTTACCATTTCCTTCTCCAACTCATTTTACAGATGAGGAAACTGAGGCAAACAGGGTTGAGTGACTTGCCCAGGGTCACAGAGGTACTAAGTATCTGAGGCCACATTTGAATTCAGGCTGTGCACTCTATCCAATGCACTACCTAGCTGCCCTGAAAAAATTACAGGTCCAGCCAAAAAATATTTTGTTCAGCATTTCATCATGTGAAATTTCATGCAAAATTTCAAAGCATTCTCTACCCATAAATTTTTTTATTTCTATATTTTCTCTTCACAATTCCTCCTCACACAAAGTCACTGTGCGACTTGGTAGGGAAGGGAGTATACAACACATCACAAATTAAGAAACAGAAATGCACTGCTGTTGTACAAAAGCATAATTCAAGAGGAAATCAACAGGAAAATAACACTGAAGAAACAAGATGAACTTTCACATTTTAAACTAACTTCACTTACATTTATTTTTATTATCCATTCACCTTTCCAAAATAAGATGAGACTTGAAACCATAGCTACCGATTACCACAAGACTGAAAGCAGCAGTTGGTGGGAATAATTGAAGACCAGGGCTTCAAAGAGTAAGACCAAATACAGGTAAGGGTGCAAGAGACTCAAGAAAAGAGGACAGTGTAGAGCTGACCTAGTTCACTAAACTTTTAAGATGGGAATGGGAGATGTGTGTAACCAGTACAGTCAGTGCATAAATGAAATTTCTTTCCTTTTCTTAATCAAAACAAAGTTCCAAAATGGTCTTAGAAAAATTCTACTGAATCATTTAAAAAGATAAAAGATGGAAAGTTACTCAAAAGAGGTTTGAAAATAATTTAAAAGCTTTGGATTAAGAGTTAAGAAATTAAATATGAAAATAAAGAGGTCTAAGGGCTTCAGCAAGAAGTTGTGGCCACAGTTCTGCATATGTGTCTGACATATTCTACTTCTGTGGCCTTCTCCGAAACACCCAGCCCTAGGTTCTTCTGAGGTAGGTATCCAAGTACACCAATGAAACAACACAGGCTGCTAGATATCTTGGGGCTAATAAAAATTCAGCTGAATCCTTAAAAACCAAAGTAATCCTGATCTAAATGTTAAAAGTATGCATGAATATGATCCACAAGAACTAACAAAGAAAAATGCAAAATGGATGTTCAGATCTAAAAATGATGTACCAAAGTGAAGAGGAAAAAGGAGTACTAAGAATTAGCTAACGGGGTGTTACAATAAAGACATGCACCTCCACCCTGGCTTTCATCTCATCTCTCACATACTTTTCATCAGTTCAATCTTCTGATTTTTATATCATTACAACTACTAATTCCAGGATACTCTTTAGAAGGCTACTTTAATGTCTTAAGAGCATTTGTTCATCGCATGTACTAAGTACTTCCCCAAAAAGAAACCATCTTATTTAACAATGATCATCTTCTTTCGTCATTATTGTAAACAAAATACACCTTCTTCTGCTCTGATTTTCTCTGGCTCTCTGTCCTCTGAAAACGATTTCTAACAAACACCTTTATTAATCTCTTATTTTTACTGCTGCTTCTTTTCAAAGTCTTCTTTTAAAAACTATTTCTTCAGCTTGGCTACTGGGCACCACTAGATTGGTAACACAGGATTAGAAATACAATATTTCAAATGATCACATATTGTCAATAGTATCTGCAGCTTATCTAACAAGAGTAATTTTGTGATCTATTTTTAAGAGCTCCAAAAGAGAGCAATGAGGATATCAGTTTTTTTATTAAACAATTATTGAGCAATTGCCACATAAGCTGTATATGTGCATCATGTGCGTGTGTGTGTGTGTGTATGAAAATAAAGCACATGTGCTATATACCTGTACTCTCTACAAAGGAGAGGATAAATGAGGCGTTTGTAGGAATCCTCTACGGAATCATGTAAGATCTTCATTAATTCCGGCCTGGCAAATTGTAAAGGTCTCCACCTGCAGAACAGAAGAAACACAGTGCTGAAATCATACAACATAATCAAATATACGCAATGATCAGGAAAAGGGGAACATTAGAAAAAGAAATCCTCTTTCAGAAAGGAAATTAAGTAAGCCACAAAACAAATACAAAAGGACAGCATGGAAGGAAACTTAGTACAGACTAACAGGTAAACGTCATTAAATATTTAAAGAACAATTAATATTATGCCATATATTGTTCTCAATAATTGAAGGGGAAAAGCCCTCTACCAACCTCCTTTTACAAAAGAAATACGGTCCTAATATTTGAATTAGGGAGGCAATAAAGCACAGAATAAGACCAATGTCACTAATTAGTAATGACAGGAAATTTTAAAAGAAATTACAGCATAAGGACCCCAAAATACACATTAAAAATTTATTCACCATGAGGCAACATTGTTCAATGATGAGGAAACTAAACTAAGAAAGCATATTAAACAAAAAAAAGATATAATTATATCAATAGGAGGAAAAGCCTTTGAAAAAATATAACTCATTTATAATAATAATAGCTAGCACTTAAAGTTGAGAGAAACTGAGGTGACCCCTGGCAAATTACTTAAGTTATACATGTCTCAGTTTCTTCATCTATAAAATAACTATAACATCAACCTTATAGGGTTGTTGTAAGAATCAAAGGAGATACTATATGTGTGGAATTTTGTGAATCTTAATGCCCTATGTTAATATTATTATCATTATAAATGAATGTTAGCAGTACTGGTACATAGTAAACACTTAATAAGTCCTTGTTGACTGATTGATAATTAGAAGCTATTCCAAAAAATACAGAAATAAAGCAAGGATGACAACTCTCCATAATATAATTTGGAATTGTTCTAAAAATGCTAGTATAAGAATAAGAGAACAAAAGTAAATAAGGATCAACAAACAGCAAAATAAATAACCCCTAAAGATATGATGATTTGCTTAGAAATCAAAGACAATTAGAAAAAAAAACTGCATCAATTAATACTTCCAGTAAAGTATCAGGATACAAAATAAGTCCACAAAAAATCATCAGCACACACACAATAAAAACCAAGATGAAGTGAGAAGAAAATTCTATTCAAAATAACTGCAAAATATCTGAGAGTTGGCTGATACTGCCAAATACAACTATAAAATACTTTTTACAAAAAGACTAAGATTTAAATAATTGGAGGAGATTCTTGCTAAGATGTCAACATCAAAGGTCACAGAGGAACCAAGTTCTCAGGACACCCCAATAAATATATGAAAAGGACCCAGGAGTGAGCAATGAGAAAGGAAACCAATGAGAAACAGAAGAAAGCTCATGAATCTAATCCCAGAACTCAAAATTTTAAAAAAGTGGGCAAAATTGGGGAGGCTGAAAGAGGAATCACACCAGGAAGGAAAGTGAAAACTCAGAAAAATAAGTCTAAATCCTGAGGGCTCTGAAAGAGAGGTTAGAGATAAATGCACAAGCGAATTCTGAAAGAAGGGTCACTCAGATGAACAGATGGATGAATGAATGAATGAAAAGCTAGCATTTATGCCCTTATTAAGTACCAGGTAGAGAACTAAGTACGCTGAGGATAGCAATAAAAACAAGTAAAACAGTTTCTTGGCTTGACTGAGAAAGTTAATATGCATGGAAAAGGGATGGACAAAGTATCTGGAACTGTTTGGTGTATGGCAACTGATTGATATAACCATTCTAGCAATGGAAGCTTGAAATCTGGTTAAGAGGAAGAGCATGGATAAGATGATGCGTGGCAACTTGAAGAAGGCTGGAAAGTAGCAGAATTGTTCCAGGTGAGAAATAGTGAAAGTCTGCCAATCAGAAACCAGGAGGGCCAGGACAGAAGAGATTAAAGCTAGAGGTCAGAGACAGAGACTACAGCACAATACCCTGTAAAAAGGCAGGGATCCAACAACAGAAGAGCCATACCAAGGAAGCCAGCAGAGGGTTTTATAAGCAGGCCAACAGTCAACCAAAAAGAGTAATCAAAAAGACGATGCAAGCTAGCAGGAGATCCACTAATCAGAACCTAAATCAAGACACTGCCCCAAGCCTACGAGAACAGAAATGGGAGACAGTGCCTGCCTCTGTATGTCACTGCACAAGGAGACAAAATTAATGGAAATCACAGGAGACAGAGCTAACTCAGCACTTGGGAGCTCACCCTGGAAGGCCTTGCAGGAAGACACAGACCAATATAATCTCCAATATCTGAACAGAGACTGTCAAGACTAAAGTAAAAACAAAACAAATAACTCCGAATAGGAAAAGGACAAGGGACAAAAATGCAATACAAGGAGAACAAGAATGAAAGGGGCCAATCCAAGGACACACAGTGAAACAGAAGGAAATTGAAAGGAAAGCCATTAATTAAAGCAAAAGGTGGAGCACAGTACTTGTTATCCCATCCAGAATGGTGGCTAGAGTGATACAGTACAGTGATAGAGTACAGAGAAAACAAGACACAACAGGATCTAAACAATCTATCCCTAAGACCCAGAGAAAATGGCATCACTACAAGTCTCAATCTAAGAAGCAAAGTTGTAAATATGAGTAAACAAAAGAAAAAGCTGAACACAATGAAAACATATTAGGGTTTAAGAGAAGCCTGAAAGACAAACTCAGAAGAAGAAAAGGTATTCTGCAATAAATATGAGCAAATGTTAAAAGAAAAAAAGATGGCTTGGCAAAAAAAAAGAACTAAACCTGGAAGAAATAAGGAAAAAGAAAACTAAATTGAGCTCTTTAGAGAAAAAAATTATAAAGAGAACAGCTTGAAACAAAAGGATAAACCAATTCAACAAGCATTTCTTAAGCTACCACTATATACCAGTCAGACAAGACAATAAGCATTTAAGCTCCTACTATGTGCCAGGCACTGTGCTAAGAGTTCAGGATACAAAGAAAGGCAAAAGTCTCTCAAGATCAGTCTAATAATGCATGAGACAACAGGAAAACAACTCAATAGAAACAAGATACATAGCAAATTAACTGGAAAAAAATAATAAGAGGTATGACACTAGCATTAAGAACAATCAGAAAAGGCTTCTCATAGAAAGTAGGATTTAGCTGGGATGTGAAAGAAAACAGGGAACACAGGAGAAGATGAAGAAGGAGAGGCATTGGGAACATCTACTGAAAATACCCAATCTGGAGATCCTGCTCAAAGAATAATAAGGAAGCCAACATCACTGAATCCAAGAGTAACTGGGGGAGGAGAAAAATATAAGATTAGAAAGGCAAGAGGGTTCCAGATTGTAAAGGGCTTTGAATTCCAAAGAAAGGATTTTATATTTGGTCTTAGAGTTAATAAGAAGCAACTGTAGTTTTGTGGTTAAACACTTGGGATAAAAAGAAAGGCAAAAAAACAAAAGCTTGCTAACAAGGAACTTTACCCAAAAAGTGGGTTTTCTGAAAGTAAAATGGAACAAAATGCAGTAACTCTACAAGATAACATGAAATACTAAAATAAAGTTAATATGTTGAAAAATAGAAGTATAAAGTATCTGCAATTTTTTAAAATAACCTGAGCAAGGAAAAATAATTTTAAGAGTAATCCTAAATCTCATGACCAAACAAAAAACCTGGATACCACTATTTCAAGAAATCATGGAAAGGAAAAAAAAAGAGGAAGAAGGAACAGAGTCAAGATGGTGGAGTAAGAGCTAACAGTTGACCTTAGTTCCTTCACATCCTACTCTACAATAACATGTTTAGAGCTGCAGACCAAACTCTGGTTGGGAAAGCCTAAAGTCACACTGAGTCATTTTTCCAGCCCAGAGCAGCTTAGGAAGATAAACAGAGAAATGTGAGGACACTGGGGTACAGGTGGGCCAGCAGCCCAGCAACAGCAGCATGGAAGTGGCAGTGGGTTATGGGGACAGCAGCAGCAGGGAGCATGCCAGTACCCAGAAACAGTAAGGGGACCGAATATCGAGACAAAAAGACATCCCAGGGGGTGCCATACCAGAACTGGGAGCAGGAAAAAGTGTCATCTGGCAGCTCTATCACCCATTACCCAGTTCTGGGTCACAGTTCCTAGGTAGAGAGGAGCAGCTATAGTTACAGTCTTTAGGAAGCAGGTGTCCTATCTGTAAGGAGCAAGTAACAAGATTCAGAAACACAGCTTTATGATCTAAAGCCCAAGAACAGACTGGGGACTCTGTTCTAATCTTCAGTACCATACATAAGTCTGCAATGGAATAAATTAGGGCTAAAGGTGAAAACCAAGAGGGAGCCAGCACTTTTGAAACTGTAGAACCTCCTGGGGGCTAACTGTGCCTGAATCCAGTAACAGTCCATTGAAACTCAACTACACAGAAGCCAAGAGACCCCAACAAGTTCAGAAATTTGCAGAAAGAAAACCTAGAGGGCAGTGAATAGACCTTTCCTGGCATAATACCTTTTTAGAAACACCAGACATTGCAGAATCCCAGAATGAGTTGTGAAAGCAACAGCAGTGCATAAAACACAGTATCTCAGGCCAGATACCTGCAGTCCAAAGTCAAAAAAGGAACAGAAAAACGAGAAAAGAAAAAAAGAGTCTGATCATAAAACGCTAATATGATGACAAGGAAGATCAAGACACAAACACAGAAGACAATTACTTGAAAACATCTACAAGCAAAACCTCAAAAAAAATGTATTTGGACACAAAACCAACAAAAATTCCTAAATGAGTTAAAGAGATATATTTTTAAAGAGCAAAAAAAGATTTTAAAAATCGATTTCAGCATGAAAGTAGATAAACTAGGAAAAATGAAAGCTATGCAAGAAATATATGAAAAAAGAGTTATCAGCTTAGGAAAAAATATACAAAAAATACTGAAGAAAATAATTCTTTAAAAATCAGAATTGACCAAATGGTGTAAAAAATAAAATACAAAACCTCAATGTAGGAAATAATGCTTAAAAATTTCAATTGGCCAAGTGAAAGCTAATGACTCCATGAGACATCAAAAAAGTTAAAAAAAAAAGTCAAAAAATT